CGTGTCGCTCGTGTCGACGCGTGACGGTATCGATGGGTTGCGGGCGTGACGGTGTCGATTGGTGGAGCGGAGGATGGGTGCGCGGTAGTTGCTGCTTACTAGTTGTAATCAATCTCAGAATTCTTTTCTCTCAGAAACTCCACTCAGAAAGGCCGGAGCCAAACATCATAACTATAAGCAAGCAATTGTTCGTCTTGGTCGAGCACTATTGGGCAGGTAGGGATACGATGCTTAGGGTCTATTTCGCGGCCGCGCTTCGATGCTCACAGATATAAAGAAATGTTCAGTAATTAGAGACACCAAATCGAGTCCTGAAACATAAGAGATCTTATCACAGTCTTCTGTAATGAGTAGCTGGGTGGTTTACAAGACACGTTTTTCGTAAGGATTGAGATCTGTAAAGCGAAGAGCAGTTCATAATTATGTCCCTATTTCATAGCCATGTTTAAGTACCGTCGTACTCAGATTGGAAGGTGCTAAGATAGGATCCTATACGGACGATCCGATTTAGCCTAGGGAATGATTAACAGCCTTTCAACACAGTACCAGAATCGTAAATTCAAGCGTTTCATTTGCGATCGCATGCCAACACTGTGGTATTTAGCTATAGAATCAATTTCAGCAGCATTAATTTTGGGCCATAGTCATAAATTTGAAATTTTTCTACGATGTATCGAATCAAACAAGCGATATGATCGAAACAAAGCAGAAACGCTCAGCAACGCCACTTTCTCTTCAATTACTTGAAAAAATTGTTCTGCCATAAGGCGGAACCTGCTGCGCAACTCTGCTCAATTGCCGGCATTAGGGAAACAACGATATGCGTTAAGTCTCTTGTCTTCGTTGCTCTGGTTCTGAGCGTTGCATTATGTTGTTGGCCGCTTTGCCGTTCCCGTTCTCTGCTCCTTTGTCTCCACCATATCCATCGCCCATATCTACCACATCTGATTCATTTCCCTGCAATTTGCCCTGCATCTAAGCTTTCAATTCTGATGAATTGCTCGACGCACCACTAGTCTCTTGCTTAGAGGCAGGTATATTCCTGTTCCACTTCGAATCCATGAGGCATAAATGTGTATAGAGACGTGATATGTTGAATAAACTATTGAATAGAAGTGCTTCTTGTCCTACTTAAAAAGAGCCTCAACGAAGATTACTGCGTGCCTTTATAGAGAAAGAAGCTGTTTGATAGTTTAGTGATTAGAAAAAGTACTCAGCTAGATATATAAGAGCGCAGCTGGAGTCCGTGGGCAACAAGATCTTACTGCGACTCAAATCCTTAAAAAAGCAAATCAATAGCCATTGGTCCATTACAATTATCCGGTCTTGGCGAAACATCCCAACAGACGCAAGCTGAGATTGCAGGTGCTGTGCGCTTACATGCACGTAGAGTCACAACCATTCACTAAGCGCTTTTTGCTCATGGCACGAACCGGTCAGACGTGGGACAAACCGCTCATTATAGCTCCATAATCGCGGACAACTAGTATGAATGTGTGCGACATGGCTATTTTCCATTCAACGCTGTGATAAGGCGAGGAAAACCACCCTGCAATCCGCACATGTTACCCCTACGAGGATTAAACTCCATCTGGAAGGTGACACATGGCAGTACTGTATCAATACGATGTGAAAGACGCCGAATTGCAAATATGTACACCTACATAAAATTGCAGTTTCCACTTTCTGCATGCTGCCTACCTTTTATCGCAGGCGGCACATCGGCCCGCCTATTATGCATATGTACAGAACCACCTGCTCAACCAGCATTAGACTTTGATTGGACCGATATCCTAGTATATGATTGACTTACGATACTGTCAAAAGCAGAAAGTGATACTCGGATAAAGTTATCATTAGGAAACAGAGGCTTGGTATGGCATCAAAGGCCGCCTGCTTACAACCGGAGCCTGCAAGTGCATGAGAGCGTAGATTCTTATTAATCGACTGATGTCGGTGGACGCCACTGTCTTTATTACTCTATCTTGAGTGTTTGAGAAGCGAACAAGATGGCTACTCTGCAAGATTTAAAAAGCGCCCTCCAGTCGAAGACAGGCGTCAAGGCAACGACTTCAAGGCAGACATTATCGGATACACAGTACGACAACGGTTTCAATATCTTGGTGCAAGGTTCGACAGGTTATCAAGATTTCATCATCCCACAATTGACTCAGGTCCTGGCGCCACTATTCGACTCCAGATCCCGGATCTCTGCTCTCGAGATTGGGCCTGGCCCCAAGAGCGTGCTTGGTGGTCTCCCAGATCACCAAAGGAGAAAAGTCCGACAATATGAAGCTTTTGAGCCCAATCAATTGTTTGCAGCAAGTCTGGAAGAATGGCTTTCGGTCGATACTGTTAAGAGGTCACGATTTCCTTGCCTGGAAAGGTCACCAACAATTCATCGTTTGCCGTTTGATCCACAGCAGAACATGAATCGGGACAGTAGTAGTAACACCATTGACGAAGTCGGGGGATACGACGTGATCCTCTTTTGCCACAGCATGTACGGTATTCAATCGAAACGAAAAGCCATTGAACAGGCACTGGAGATGCTTGGAGAGAGGAGAGGCGGGATAGTGTTAGTCTTCCATCGCGACGGAAATCTACATTTTGATGGCCTGGTGTGCCATCAAACCGCTGTTTTTCCGACCGGGGTTGTCAGGGTGGCAGATGAAGATCAAGCCCTGGACGACTTTACTCCCTTCATTGCAGGTTTCGTAATGCATGATGAAGAGGTGCAAAAGACTGTTCAAATTCAGTGGCGGAAGGTGTGTCGAGATTTGGGTCGTTATGAGGATACGTATCCAGGTTATCTCTCATTCCGCTCGCCGGATGTTATGGTGGCCTTCAATGAGCATGCGACAAAAGTATCAGAGCTCACAGCGCAGTTGCCAGTGGTGGAGACAGATAGGCAGATAAAAAATCGGGAGGCTCATCTGCGTCGACCAGCGGCAATCTGTAGACCAACAGAAATCTACCACATTCAGCTGTGTGTGTGGTGGGCCCTCAAGCACGCGGTCGGCTTGATCATCATCGGTGGGGGGCACAGTGGCCACTGTATTTGGGACAACGTCATCTCAGTCGATATGGGTGCCTTCGACCAAGTATATATTCATGGTAAAGAAGAGAGAGACTTGCTTGACAATTCTGGTTCAAGCGCTTTCGTCGTCGTCGAGGCTGGCTGCACATCGGGAGACGTCATCAGGAAAGCTATGGAGGCAGGCGTGACAGTGCCCTTGGGATCTCGCCCAAGTGTAGGTGCAGGATTATGGCTGCAAGGTGGAATCGGACATCTGGCTCGACTCCATGGTTTGGGATGCGACGCTATCGTGGGCGCTGTTATGGTCAGTGTTGATTCTGGCCAGGTCCTCTGCGTGGGCTATGTTCCAAGTGAACATCAACCAGCTATGTCTGTTCGAGCAGAGAATGAAACGGAAATTCTGTGGGGGTTAAGAGGTGCAGGAACAAATCTCGGCATCATCGTCAGTGTAACTTTCAGGGCTTACACGGCTCCAGTATATATCGTTCGGAACTGGGTTGTGCCACTCAGCGATGGTCTTGAAGCACAGCTCAAGCTTGGTCGATTTGACGAACTTATTGCGAGAAAGCTTAGCCGGAACTGTTCTGCAGATGCCTACCTATACTGGGAAGATGGTCAACTGCATCTTGGTTTCACCATGATTGAGTCTACAACCGCGTCCGCCGCGTCGAAATGTTCGTTCTCCACGACCGTTAGTTCACATCTCGGAGCAAGTGAAGACGAAGCCAAGGTGGTACACAGCGTCGGTCTGTTTGAGACAGAGATGTACGTTTCGAAGATGCACGGTGGGCATGGCAGTGGCAAAACGTCTTCTTTCAAGCGTTGCCTGTTCGTGAAAGACATAGGTAGTCCCAAGGTAGCTGAGCGCTTGGTGGTAGCCATGGAAGCTCGCCCATCACCACTGTGCTACCTTCATCTGCTGCAAGGAGGAGAGGCGATTAGTGACATTGCGGCTGAGGCTACTGCCTTTGGCTGTCGAGACTGGCACTTTGCTTGTGTGATAACTGGTGTTTGGCCTCGCGATCAAGATGGCACCGGAATCGCTCGGGCTGCTGTAGAATGGGTTTACAGTGTTGCAGATGACTTGCTGCCTTTGTCTAATGGGGCCTATTGCGCCGATCTCGGACCCGACCCCAGGGATGCTGCACTTGCTAGCAGAGCCTTTGGAGTCAACCGACAACCGCTCATTCAACTCAAGAAGAGGCTGGATCCGCGAAATGTGCTGGCTTACACCTGTCCGCTCCCGAAACTGCCATTGGGCCCGAGGCTCATCCTTCTCGTCACCGGTAAAAGCTGTGCTGGCAAAGACTATTGTGCAGATGTGTGGGTCTCCATGTTCGCAGAACATGCCCTCACGACTCGCGCTGTGAGCATCAGTGAAGCGACCAAGCGGGAATACGCGGTGACTACCGGTGCCGACCCTGATCGGCTGCTTTCTGATCGCGCCTACAAGGAGCAGCACCGCCCAGCCCTGACAGCATACTACATGGAAAAACTACAGCACCAACCTTGGCTGGCAGAGGAGCAGTTCATGCGAGTGGTGCATGGTGCTGCCGATGTGGGCGTACTTGTGATCACCGGTATGCGAGACGAAGCACCTGTTGCTGCCTTCTCGCATCTTGTGCCAAATAGCAAGCTTCTCGAGGTTTATGTGCAAGCCAGGGAACAGACGCGACGATCACGTAAAGGGTGTAATCACGAGGGCATGGGTCTTGCACGTGACGAAGCGATTGAACCAGTCAAGCCACATCAGGAGGCGTTGAGCTACCGACCCAGTGCCGTGTTCGACAACGAAATGCACGGGAATGAAGCTGCGAGAAGCTTTTTCGAAGACAAGCTGCTGCCCCTGGTTCACGAAGACTTACTGCGACTTGCTGACATGGTGCGTCCAGTACCCGACTTCCCACACGAGAACGTCGTGTTCCGCCATGTGCTTGGCATCTCTCAAGAGCCGAACGGGCTAGCTTTGTGCACGTCTCTCCTACAGAGTCACTTCATTGGCGACTGGAGCAACGTCGCTGCGGTGGCATGTTGCGAGGTCGGCGGCATCGTTTTTGCTTCTGCATTGTCTTTGCGGGTCAACGTCCCCTTGGTACTCATACGCGAAGCTGGTAAGCTTCCCCCACCTACTGTTTCTGCTGTGAAATCTCGGTCGCATGTTTCATCTTTGATCCGCAGCGACTCGGAACAGAAGCGGATCGAGATTGAACGAAGCGCAGTACCTAAGAACAGTCCAATCGTGGTAGTGGATGACACGCTAGCTACAGGCGAAACGCTTTGTGCAGTGCTGCAGATATTAGAAGGGGCTGGTGTTGCTGTTGAGAATATGAGCGCCATGGTTGTTGCCGAATTCCCCATTCACCGTGGACGGGAATTGTTGTGCGGACGTGGCTTCAGTGGAGTGAGCGTTCAAAGTCTTCTCACGTTTGGCGGTGTATAATCTTCAATGATGTGCTATTACTCAGTTCGTATAATTTGCCCGACAACAACCTGTAATAGTCGTGATTCTAGTGTGATCTTGACCGAGTTACCGACTTGCTGTACCAGACACTAACAGTTTTGGCATAGTTATAGGCTGTTCGATTTGCATGGAAGCCACGTAACGACACTTCATTGTATGGCCTTCTCTTGCAAGGCAGAGCCTGCACGAGCACTTAAAAACAGCGACCACCTTCTATGTGCGTTCGAGAGTTTCACTCGTGCTTTCCTACTTTTCCCCAAGTTGCAAATACGCCTACATTCAAATATGAGATCGATGCCAAGGCGGATGCGGTAATCGACTTCAAAACCCCAAGTCCTAGCTTTTTGTCTTGAACCCCCGCTGAGGTTGAAAGAAGCATTACAACGCTTGACCAGGGACTTGCTTCTGAAGACACTGACCAGACAATCTCTGTCAACGTTGCTATTGTCTCTGACAATGAAAGCAAATCAATTCTCAACGACACCAAGGAAGACGAAATTTGGTGCTATGTTTTCTGGCCCCGCCTGTTATCAGAATCATTCACAATGAGCGTAACTACGCTGCAAGAGCCAGGCTGTACGGGGTGTGAACGAGGCCGGACGCTACTTGGCGCACGGAATCCCAGAGGAAAGTTGCAGGATCGAGAAGAGACTTCCACAATGCGAGTAGCTCCAGAGCTCCAGCAATTGCTAGCGGCAAAATGATGAGGCCCGCCGTTTGGCATTCATCCTGGCACAAAGCACGTGGGTCGGCAGATAAGTCTCAATTGGTGACTTTGTCGAACTTGCATACGGTCCTCTAGACAAAAGGTTGTTGACGTTTATTGGGTCTTAATTAGCGACTTACATGATCAAAACGGCCTAGAATGTCGATCTCTTTTCGTAGGTTGCTGAACTGCGCATGAGTACATTTGACCATCTTGACAGCAACTGGCTTACCACTTGATTTGTCGTAGCCTGAAAATACAGTGCTTGTCGTACCGTGAAGATTGGCATCGAAGATGCTATAGCCGTGGTAGTCGATAGTAGGTGTGAATGGAGTTGGTGACGGAGGCATGACAGACTTGGTGGGCCCAGTGCTGGCCTGTTGGAGGGCTTCTTGAAGTTTGCGTTATTGTTATACCTGGTTAAAATCTGTGTAGACGAAAAGATAAGTCAGGCCGCCGAGTCAGATGCTGGTATCGTGCTGGAGAAATCTGATCATCTTGTCCGTCCTGCTCCCTTTCGATGTGGCATTGGAGGGTTTTGCCTATAAGATCAAAAGCAGGCCTGGAAGTTGCGCTGCATTGAACCAGTCTGGATCGGCGAAGTAAAACGTGCCATCGTTGGGCACGGCTCGAGCTTGGGTGGGCGGATACGGCCATCGGTCGGGGACGGTTGAGCGAGGTCGATACACGTTCTTCCCTGCGCAATAATCGGGCATGGCTGTTGCAGACAACAAGCTCCTATTTGCCTATTGCTACAATGATGTTGTTACGTGACGTATGTGGTTGGCACATGGCCCGTCATCCTGAGCCGGACCATTGCGCTAGAGGCTTCTTTGCCTTGCACAGCCACTTTGCAAGCTATAAAGCGCATGTCCTGAATCGCAGCTAACAGACAGAACATTCGGGAACGCACTCGGCAATGCGTTCGATCAGCGCCACTGGTCTTATGTCCACTATCAAATACCGGCCATTTTTATCTTGTGGTCGAGCTTGGTTTGACAACAAGATGAAGCCGCATAGCAGCTTCACTGGAAAGATCTTAGTTTGTAGTAGCGCTAAAATGCTAGTGGTATTCATTTTCTTTGTTTTCGTGACATACGGAGCTGTTTTGTTGCTTGGTCTACTCCTTGGTCCGGAGATGCTGCATGCGGTTCTTTCGTATGTCGGGAAAGCTCGCGTTCCAAAAAGGAGGCCCAGTTATCTTTTGCTACATCATTTGACCTCGGGCCTACTTGCGTAAGCTGAGGGAAAGATTCCACGCATGATGATTTCTCTAATCGTCTTGCCGTCTGAGGAACAGGACAACCATTCCCAGTATGAGGCATCGGGCTCGGATCAGCATTGGAGGAGTCAATAACTGGTATCATGGCCCAAAACTCCCTAGCGGCGCCCTGTGCATCAGTCCTAGGACAGGCAAGCTGGGTAAAGGAGCATTCGGTGCTGAGTTCTAGTGGGTGAAAATCTAGGCTCTTCTTCGGCTTGCAGTTTTCGCGGCGTACCATCTCAGCGATGTCTGAAGCATTCAACGGGATCTCACCCTTTGTTCGTCTCCATACAAACTCACCGACATCCATTGAAGCTATCCCCATCGATTTGAGTCTCTTCAAAGCTCTCAGCAAGTTAGTAGAAGAACTACTAGCCGAGAGTAGTACATGTGACTGCGACGTAAAGGATGTGGGAGTTTCGGTTCCTGAAGATGCCATCCACAACCGCCCCACAACTGGGCGGATATTCACCAATGCTGTCGCGGGCATCTTCGCTGAAAGAAGATTTCTTATACGCGGATCTGGATGCCTGGAGGCAATGACGCGGGCAGTAATGACGGGCGATGATTGAGTTTGGATGCGGATATCTGGACTGGCGCCTTGGTGTAACAGCATGAACACGATCTGGTACGCATCATCATCTAGCTGCCTTTTGAGCAGGTCTTCATCGCTGACGTCTACTAAAAGGACGCGCACTAAAGCATTGCTGAGATTGTGTACATGCTTGCCGTCCAGTTTTCGTTGAAGCTGCGCGTCTCTGTCGTTGAGATAGTGCTTCACCAAGCGTGGCAGTTTGGCTTCCGAAGCTATCTGTAACACCGTGCCTGCATTTTTCCCTAAAGGTTCGACAGACGCGCACAGCTGTTGAGAAAGTAGCAGAGCCACAGATTCGTGTCGGGCGAAAATGGCAACAGGGAGCGGAACCCTTAATCCGTTAATAAATTGGCTAGCTCCAGCTTCCAAAAGCATCTTGACTATCTCTAGATGCCCATGACGAGCGGCTGTTGCAAGAGGAGTCAAGTGCTTGTCGTTGGCGGTCCATGGAATTGTAAGTCGAGTTTCTATATCTCCGCCCACCTGTAGAATCCGTTGAGTCATCGCCTTGAGGTTTCTTTTGGCTGCATAGTTTAGCAGGCTGCTTTTGTTGTACCGCACATTGTGACGAGATATGTAGTCTGCGATGACTGGATAGAACCTCCGACTTGATTGCGCAAAACAGATTTGATCTTTTTGGCAATCTAATTGCTGTACCACCTTGAATAATATCTCGTTCGGCATAGTCCTAATTGCTGCGTTGTATCGGTAAAGCTTGAAGTAATCTTGAACAAAGTAATAAAGCCTTCTGCTAACCTTACTCAATACCCGAAGATCCAGGATGTTGAGAAAAGACGCAATTTCAACGAGGTTTTCACTCGGTAGTATGTAAAATCCTGTAGACAATATGTCATGGTTGAGCGCATGTTCACACATCATGGCGCGTGTTGTGTGTGAGAAAGTTGAATGACTTTGGTTTGTTTTGAGTCGCGATCACATTCCGGCCAAGGCTCTCCAATAGACGTAAGAGAATACCGCAGATCACGTGTTCGCGCATAAGTGGCTTCCTGCACGTCTCAGAGAACGTAGATATGATTTTGTGAGCTTAGTCGTTTTATTGCACACAACATGTTCAACCCAGTACGGCGTGATTAGAGCTGAAATTACAGATACTAAACGCGCTCGCATGTACGCAGATGCGATGACGGCCATCTACTTGGCGATTTTTCACGGCAAGAACCAGCCAGACGTGGGACGAGCACCTCGCGATAGTACACTCTCATGCACTTGCAGCTTCCGGTTTCTGTAAGCAGGCGAGTCTTGATCTCATGCTAAACCTCTCTCATTTAATGATGGCCTTATTACCTGGATAGTGCTAGCTCTTGTCAGCAATGCCATGAGTCAATCTTCTCCCCAATACTCTGGCCAATCAAAGTGAGATATCTATGGAGTCTAACCCTCTTCTGAGCAAGCGTATACTGGGCGAATCGATGACCCGTGCGAGATAACAACTGAGCCGCGTGTGCAAAGCGGAAGCTGCAAATGCATGGGGGTGTATCAGAATCATGACTGGCTAACTACTATGAGTGCATGTAGGCATGACAGGGCTACTGCCAATTCAAAGCTGTAACAAGACGAGGAAAGCCTGCCTGCAGTTCGTGCATGTCGCCCTTTCCAGGGCTAATCTCTATCTGGAAGATGACACATGGTAACTAGCACTTAAACTCTGATGACAATCATATGTTGCGAGCGCTACATAGGATAGGGAACATGTCAGGTCCTTGGTCATCACTTCCTCTTAACATTCTCACTTGCGTCCAACAAGACTCTTTAGAAGGGACACCAGCGCCTTAATCCGAAATGTGGTACTATGTGATACTAACCTAATATAGGTATTGCGACAGCCTATGTTCGCAAATAGTCGAATACAGATAAGCTCGCTGCCTGACAGATAAGGCTTAGCGTCAGCGCTGATCCGCTAGCGTACGCGCACGCTGGGAGGATGATGCACTCGCATAAGCCATCTTCGAGAGTGGCTATAACTAACTTTCTTTTTATGTATATGCTCGCCTGCTAAGTATGGAAACGGCCAGTGGTATGAATGCAATGGCCGATAGCAGCGGTTGCGGTGCAGAAGTGGCCGAACCCGGGTCGTATGGCTGCTGCTGCCGTCCTGCGCTACAAGCGAGGCTGATCACGATACGACTCGATTCTGACCGTAAGCATCTTGAAGGATCTGTCGGCTCAGCGCACGATATGAACTGTGCCGCAGTGGCACGACTGCTTGCCAGTAAGCAACTTATGCTCTCTAACCGACGCATCGTAAGCGAACTTCCCAATACGCCGTAGTGTAAACAAGGGTAGGCCAGTTTGTTGCAGGCAGCTGCGTCGCGCATCCTACGGGAAAAAGTACGGTATGGTAAGATGGTTCTTACCAATATGTGGTGCAGCTAGTTGCAAGTTTCTCACAAACTCGATAACATCTATGCTCTGCTCATATGCTAGGGGTCTAGCAAAGGCTTGATTATTAGGGGAGGTCTCTAGTTAAACATCATGTGCGCATATCTTATCAATAAACAATTTCTGCGCACAGAGATTCATCATGCATGGACCAAAATTGGCAATTTTAGGCGCTTCTTGCACGTACTACTGATCCTAAAAGAAGTCAACCTGCTGTAACTCGGCGGCCAGATGGACCTTGCGCGAGAGTAGTGCCTTTTCTTTTTCCCCAGAACTATTAGAGGACTCCATAGGCAAGCATAGTCTTTGACTGACAGTCGTTCACAGCTAACAGTACGATTTTTTATTACAACTCGAGAGCTGCTCCGCAAATACAGTATCGGACCATTCATGGCAGAACAGCAGCTAATGGCGAGTTGCACTACAACCAACGCAAGTTTCGATATTTCTACAGAATCAGGGCTCCACGCTTGGATCTATTGGCACTATTGTGATAAGGGCTTTCGATACAGTGGGGCGTTCAAAAGTTTGGCAGGGTTGCGAGCGCATTTGTTTGCCCTAGACAGCGGGCTTTCGAGAAGAAGCATCCGCCAAGCAATTCATCAGTAAGTTCACCCCGCGACTGATCCTTGCTCGGTAGTATTCTGTGTCAATTCAATTCAGCTCTGAATATGGGTTGACTTGCATGCTGTCTCGTGGTGAGGGTCCGAACCTTGATATCTAACAAAATGCATGCTATACACTTATACGTAAATTGACGCTAAGCAGGCTTCTTTCACCAGAGCATCCGTACAGCCTAATGGGAGCGAAAAAGAAGGGTATTTCAACGAGCGATACAAGAAAAAAAGATACGGATATCCTGCCTTCGCAACTGAGTGCCAATACAACCAGAACGGAACCACTGAAGCCACAATCGACTCCAGGCATACCGTGCGTGTCGCAGCTCGGTCTTAGCCAGGTTACAATGGCGGGAGGACATGACTCCTTCATTCTGAGTAGCAATAGTGACTGTTCTTCCAGCATCGTTGTGTCTGGGGACCTTGCGGCTGATTCAGGTGAATACGTTCGCAAAGACAGTCTGACATCCAAATATGGCATTTTGAACGATACAGACCTTCTCGTATCAGACGATGGCAAACACAATAACACTGGAGATATTCAACGCCACGAAAGGGCTACTCAAATTCAACACGCACCATTGTTGGGCGTGGACGTCATCTTGCAGAACGATCAACACCTTCTCCCACAGTATGGGCTTATGGGTTTATACGGCGAAGCGAAGGATATCAGATCTAAGCTTTTTATGAATACCAATGTTCCGTTTTCTGTGTTCCTTTGCGGAGTTCAAGGAAGCGGCAAGTCCCACACGACATCCTGCATCATTGAGAATTCTTTGATACCCTCTAAACATCTCGGGAGGCTCCAAAATCCACTATCTGCGCTAGTTTTCAGCTATGGTCACTTTAGTGGTGATGGTATTGGGTTTAGCATCAGCGAAGCCGCATTCTTGGCTTCTAGCGGAGCCAAAGTACCGGGTGCAGCCCATGTCAAAAAGGTGCATGTATTGGTCTCACCTTCAAACTATGCGCGAATATCCAAGCTATACCTACAGCTTCCTGACGTTTCGGTCACACCGTTTAAGATAAAACCTCGGAACCTCAACATCACTACAATCCTTACGTTGATGAACGTCAACGAGTCGGAAGAAACACCACTCTACATGGCACAAGTCACGCAAATACTTCGGGAGATGTCGACAACAGGAGGACCATTCGACTACAAGGCGTTTAAGCTGCATCTAAAGAAGCAGAAATTCAACCCTGCACAAGCCAACATGCTCCAGATGCGTCTTAGCTTACTCGAGTCATTTCTGGACATGACAGATACTTCACCCGAGATGGCGTTCCTGCCTGGTGAAATAACAATCATGGACATGTCTTGTCCCTTTGTTGATGCCAACACAGCATGTGTTCTCTTTGAGATTGGGCTTCAGCAATACCTGCATTCTCAAAGTACCGGTAAGATGATCGTCTTAGACGAAGCACACAAGGTATGAATCATAAAACCTCTCTATTCCCGGTTCTTTCATTAATCCTGACTAGTACATGCTTAAGATACCGGGAGCGAAGTCGCTGAACGAGGCACTTCTCCAGACCATCCGCCTACAGCGGCACCACGGCGCTAGGGTTATCGTCTCAACACAAGAACCTACCCTTTTGAATGACCTGATCGCTCTTTGCTCCGTTACGGTAATTCATCGCTTCTCAAGTCCAGAGTGGTTCTCGGCTATCAGACGCCATGTCCCCATCACAGATGAGAACCGCGATGATCTCATGCGAAGAATCGAGAGCCTGAAGACGGGCCAGGCGATTGTATACTCACCTAACACAATTCTCGGTTCTGATGACTACGGCAATTTAATCATGGGTACAAGTGGGATGATTGATGTTCGAATCAGGAGGAGACTTACAAGCGATGGAGGACAATCTGTACTAGCAGTGTAGGAAGGTTGCTTGCGGAACAACCCGAATACTTGCGCATTTTATTTCTACTCGGTGAGGAGGGTACCGTGTTTGCTCCCATGATCTTCATTTCAAGAGCCTTTTTTTGCAATCGTGGCAATCAATCTAGATTTAAAACCCTGCTTGTACATGAAGCAATGTAGCTCATTGCTGCGTGGGTTAGTTCATGAGCCGTAGCTATCGGTTGCAATACATGAGGAGGTCTCTTAGAGTAAGTGCAGTCCCAGAGATGGACGTATTGCATCAGGAATACCCGTATAATACCGGTAGAAGTGGCCATATGCGAAAAATCAAGTTACACAGTTTCCCAGATGTACATATCAGCTGCCTAAGCCGAGTGTTTAGCCCTGAATATCTCGCCTAGAGACTAGAGAGCATTTTCTAAGCTATGGCTCTTGGAAGACCCACGGATCTTACTTTAAGCAGGGGCTGAATGCTTAGCTGGAGGGGATGGCACCGACAGGGAGATACATCACATTTTCAAGCACGCTGTAAGTAGACACTGCGGAAACTTCGGTTTGGTTTGCAAGAAACTATTCTCGAGATACGATAGTGTTGTCAATAATTTCCTGAAATCCCTACGTCTAGAGGCGTCGACTGTGTTAATGCATGTAAAATCTCATGCTGCCCAGCAAGGGGAGAGACATTATTTTCCTGACGAGTATCGGCTTTGACCATTCCCAGAGTTATAGTATGTTGAACCCTGCTTTCATTAGCTAAACAAGCGTCGTTAAATCGGAGTCGAAAAGCCGTATACATTCGGGTTGCTATAGTAGTATGATCCATCGCTATTCGAGTAGTGATAACTATTCTGGTTCGGCGCACTCGCACCGTAGTCACGAGAGCAGTAGTGATTGCCCTAAGGTAACATTAGCATCAATCGTGGTGTGAGAGTTCAGGCCGTGGTTCATAATTTATCCTACCTGGCTGTTGGTCCCAGAGCTGGGTGTCGTGTAAGCACCTCCATTGGAGTTTGGCTGAGACCCACTTGTTGCGGACGATCCCTTAGTCATAGTGAGCAATTAATTGCCAAAATGAGTCAAGATGAAGTGGCTTTTTTGTTCGAGATTTTGATGAATATTTGTTATGAGAACGATTTGTTGTAGAGAATCGATTCCACAAGATAGAAATTTGCTGGGGAAGACTACTTTAAACACCTGAATGCACGGGCTCCATGATACAAGAATGTGCTAAATGTGCATGCAGTAACTAGCTATCGGTATTGACCGTTGCTGACATGCATCTCTTCGTGATGGAAATCCTGGTGTGCCAGACCTAACCAATCAACTCCTTAAGAATCTGCAACCCTCGCTAAATGATTGGCTATTTTCGGCACACCGTGATGTCCGGCACGAAGGGATGCACGCTAACTACTTTCATATCTAATGGGTGTACCGTAGGCAATGATGACTCGCTCGAGGTATGTAGAGCGTGATAGTGACGCCGCATAAGAGCACCATAGCTTATGGTCAGCTGTTGTTACTCGCGTAAGGCAATCAACTTAACCTGCGTCACAAATACCACTTTTTACACAGCCAGTCTGATCGCATCTATGGATCATTTTGGTTTGTACACATATGTACGCCATAGCGCAGACAGGGGTAGTCTAGTGTATGTGCTGCAAGTAGCTGTACGGGCGAGCATCAAAGGGCTAGTACTGCGTGTGGTCAGTGCGTGCAACAGTTCAGCCAATGCAACACCATCTGACCCATCAAAATATCCGCCCATCATTTTCAACACGTGACAACCCCACCACCATGACAGCCCCTGCAAAAGCGATTGCGGCAATAGATTCGCAAGATGCAGAAGGTCAACTTAGTAGATCCTGCGATAATCTTCGAGGGAGTAGATGGTCTTCGTGATGAATGGCTGCGGGACCTGGAGGTGGGAAAATACCAGATTTTTTGCTGCAGCACCCCATCTAGATGGAGTAACAATGACCTTGCGCTGGCTTCGGTTGACCAGGTGTTCGATCGCTGCACGAAGGAGAAAGCAAAACGCGACTACAAGATGCTTCTCGTCGACGGGCACGGCAATCACCTGACGCCTTCCTTCATTGAGTACTGCCATGCCCACGAAGAGTATCATAGCACGGCTGTGATATGGAGCCCACGATCAGTGAGGGAGGCCAGAGCGCGCGAGGCAGTAGAACAACAACAAGAGCATGGAAAGAAACTCCAAAAAAGACACCAGAGGGAGGAGCGAGCTGCCGCAGCTGTATATAAAAAACAGTTGGCACAAGCTGCTCGTGAGCCCCGAGAAATGGCTAGAGTGGTGCGGCAGGAGGAGCGCGATGCGAGGGCTGCACAACTAGCTGCCGCGCGCGCTCAAAAAGCTGAAGACTGCGCTGCTGCAACCACACAAAAATCTCGCGATAGGCAGAATACAGCTAAACGAAAAGCTTCATTAATTTAGAATACAAAAAGACCAAAGCGGCGTCGTGTTGTGGAGGCTGAAAGTGGTGGTGGCGATGCATCACCACCCGCCAAGCCTCCCACCAAAACCACCACATGTGGCCGCAGTGTGCGGTTACCCAGCAAATATCAGTAGATATATATCAAATATACGATCATATCAGTACTTCACCAAAAATCTCGCGATAATAACGTTTTGGTGGTGGTCAAAAGCTTCATTTTTTGGCGGTCACGCATTTTGGTGGGGTGTTGCATTGGCTGAACTGTTGCACGCACTGACCACACGCAATATAGCCATTGCTTTTTCTTGTTGAGGTGCTGCATCCTTGTTGCAGATGCAGTGGCTTGTTACTTCGGCTCAGCTGAAGTCATTGCTTCTGCATCCTTGTATAGGCTGCTACTCATATCTATATTGTTATTATATGGTAGAGCTATACATCTGTAGAAGTGCGCAACGTTGGTGGGGTGACCGACTCGATTGTAAGCTACGTTAACTAATGGAGGACGGGTAAGTCATATAGTCTGCAGATAGAGCTGAATGGATCCAACGCTTACTTCTCTCCTAAGAAAGCTGAATCAAACTAACTAGCAGTGATTAACAATGCAATGTCCGTGATACAGAAGCATATTGCCCCAAGAGACCTTCATGTTGATTATCGTACAATGTACGCACTCCAGTTCGAGTAATGATTCGCGCAATAAGGGCAATAGTATGAAGATCCAGAAGACGCAACAGCCTCCCAATATTTCAAGCAATTCGGACACCTGTACTTAGTTCGGTCCTGCTTTTCATTCGGTTTCTTTTCGCTCGCCTGAAGCTGAACTAAATCAGAAGCGAATCCAACAGTTTCTCCCAATATATCGCAAAACCCCTGCTTCTGCAAGAGCTCTGTAATGTGTTCGCACGCGACATCGACTACCAGCCTTCGGATCTCTTGGTCGTTTGGTGGGGTAGAGCTATATACTTCCGCAACAGCGTGTGGGAAGTCGTCCATGTTCCAGCAGGTTTTGACCGATTCCTTGAACTTTTGGCTAGCGACTGACTTCAATGCTGGAATATCATACTTGTCGGCTACGCTGTACACTTTGACATTGAATACCATCGGCGAAGCAACATCAGCCGCGTTCCCGCCAGCATCATAGTCAAATGTGTACAAGAATCGAAGCATTGCTTCAACAGCGGAGACATCGTCGTCGTTTAGAGGGATAGCTCCCTCCACTGACTCCTACAGTCGCATCATCAGAAACGGCCTTGCGATAGTGATAACACGTACCTTCCACTTCCCCTCGAAAGCGTTGGAGAAGAATCTTGACTGGGCAGATAGCACGATCTTATGGATTCGAAATTCTTTTCCAGCACATGTTATGATGCCATCGGATAGCGTTGGAGAATCATAATACCTTGAGATGTTAAGGGACGCGTAACTGCTTTGATAATCGAAACAAGACGACACTCACTCTGGAAGATTAAGCAGTAAAGTTTGGAAAGGTTGATTCGTCTGCATTTTGATTCGGGTGTGATAGCAAGAAGTTTAACTCGAGAGCTTTGATGATATAGAGAACGCAAAACGTCTGCGGTTAAAGGAATCGTAGAGCGACAACTAAGTCTTATTTTGGTGAGGTATAGCTCTGAGACTTGGCATGTGCAACGCGAATTGGCGAAGTGTAGATTGAAGAGGATAAAACTGTCGCACCGATGACCACTTGATTTCAAAACGACTGCTATCTTGTGGAGTTTTACTCTCCCTACACAATGCTCGATTACTAAGTTACCCCGCCTTTATCAAGAGATCAGCCAGAGTATCTAATGCCGGCCCTCTTGAACAGCTCGAGATCTACCGAACGCCGGCGCCTAATCTCGGTGCAGCCCCGCTCTAACCCATAACTCAACATCTGGACCGTCACTTGGTTTCGTTCTGAGTATTCTTACAAAGATGAATCACCCCGAGAACATCATCTACTACAGGAAGCTCATCCTCTGTCCTACGATTGTAACTTGGTCTGTACCAGAACTCCTCCGAGAATGTCCTGGGTGCAACGACTCCTTGTTATATTGCTACTGCCACAACTTTCGCATCATCTTCACTGATAGGGCGTGTACGAACAACGGGCGGCCTGAAGCAAAAGCAGGACTCGCTGTGGCATACGGCAATTGTGATGAAAGCTAATTATCTAAGCTTATTACGGACATGGTGGACAACTTCCCATTATAGTCAAATTAGCGAGCGGAACTCTGTGCGGCAAAGTTAGGCGTGGAGTTTCTTAGTAAGGCCACTACCTCTATATATTAGATTCGAGGCTTCGCCATCAAAAGTGTCTAAAAACTAGTCCGTGGGTAGGTAATCTTACCTTAGAAGTGCTTAAGTATAACCTTAAAAGTATAGGTTCTTATTACGCGCGATCCTTTAAAAGTACTTTATAAGGTTAGACTACCCTTAAAAGTATAATATTTCTACCTATATATAGAGTAAAACGCGCTTATATATATTCTTATAAGTTTCTAGTAATAAATATCCCTTCTTTAAAGTATTAGATTTATTTCCCCCTCTCCCTCTCTCTCTTCTTCTTTCTCTCTATATAGAGCTAGACGCGTAGCTCTATATCCTTATAATTAGTTCGCGATAATCTTTCCCTTCTATTATTATAGTATTTCTCTCTATTTATAGAGTAAAATATATATATATATATATATATTCTTATAACGTACCTTGTGGGTTCGCCGGCCACACGGGTTCGCCGGCCACTTTTACTAAGACCCCACCAAACTACCTATTACCTACAAATGTTACAACAATAACAGTAGTTAAAGCCCTCTCGTAAATGTTAAATATAGCTTACCCTTTAAGCGCTTAAATAAGACGCGAATCTCTTAGAACGACGCGCTGTAGCTATCTTTAACGTACCTTATACGACACTAGGTAATTAACGCGCTAGATAGACTTTATAAGTAAATTATAGACCTTAAATAATAAATCTAACTAAGCTTAAGAAGAAGGTAGTTATTAAGTATATACTTAACCTTAATCTACGTAGATTTCCCTCTAGACTCGTAGATATAGCTAATATAGCTAATTCTTTATATACTAAGTATAATCTAGACTAGGTTAGCTAAAACTAGCCTAGTACGTTTATTAAGCGCTACTCTAAGCTTAA